TTTCAAAATGTTATACTTGAGATGGTTAGTAACACACAAAATAAAGATCCAATATATAATGCATGAATAAAAAAATAAACATCTAATAATATTAGTAATAATCAAAATACAAGAATCAAACTACAAAATTGCAATTATTACAACTTTTAGGTATGGCACACTTCACTTTGTATGTTAGATCATATCTAAATATTTTCTTAAGAAGGCCTTTGAGGACTATCATGGATTAATATTAAGATCTTTTGCACTTGGTATGTAATAGTGAAGTTATATTGAATAAATTAGGCTTAGGCTTAGTTAGACTTGTCTTAAGTTAGACTAGCCATGTGGGTTTTAATGTTGGCCATGGGAGTTCCTATGGGCCAAGATTAAAAGCTTTGATGGTTAGGCTTAGCCTAATCATGATTCCATGAGTCAAATTAAAGAAAATGGGTTAAATAGTGGCTAGACAAAGTTTTTTGTTTTGCAAATCACTTATCATTAAAAACCTAGAAAATAGTTATTATTAGTTAATAATAACATAATAGTCTAGGCCAATTGAGTTGCTTGATAATATTTGGGTTAGACTACCTTATATTTAGTCAGGTTAGCCCTATAGGGGTAGGGTTAGGTCTTAAATAAGCTAATAACTCAATTAAGAAGGTTTTGATTAGGCTAATTGAGCTATCTTAAGCCAACTGGGCAATTGGATCAAGGATTTGTTTATGATAGCTTAAATTTGTTTAGTTAGCTAAATAAGATTTAATTAGGTATTATGAAGTGTTTAATTCAGCTTAATTGATGTTCGCTAGGGTTTCACTAATTCAGTTAAACTTGTTTCCCTCCAAAGGTTTTGGAGTTTTAAATTAAGTTTGATCCATAGCTTGAGTTAGGCTTGAGCTTGGGTTTTAGTTAGGTTAACTTAGGAGACTAAGGCTTGCTAGCCCACAATGATTAACTCAAGGCTTAGGTTTTATCCATTGAACTAGATGGTTTGATTGGAATAATCAAATCTTTTTTTTTTAATGTTTTTAGAGGTTGCTCCCAACAAGTAATTGGATTAATCAAGTCTCTAAACGGACTGAGTTGGGTTTTATGGGCAAGTAAAGTCGATTTTTTTTTTAATTTTTTAATTTTTAATTTTTATTTTTATTTTTTTAGGTTAGTAAAGTGAGTTGAGTATGGTATATGATTTGGGTAGGGTGTAACCATATCAAACCTCTAATGCTCTAGGGCTAAAAACTTTTTTATACTATAGCTAAGGTTTAACATATTTTAAAAGAGAGATTATAATTATGGCTTTTAAATGATCTTAAGTGACATTGAATTATGCAAGCCTAAAAGTATGGACAAAGTTGTCAAATAGTTATGAGTATTGCCCAAATTAGTTATTTAAACATCGAGTATCTTAATATGCCCTAATAAAAATTGTATTAATATAATAAATTGGGAAATATTTCTTACCTCCACTTTTATTTGGTAGAGTCACCAGTCTTTACCCAATCTAACAAATAGGAGCAAATCATTATTGGAGTATGATTTCTATAGAAGTGGGAATGAAAAGGTTAATAACTTGAACTTATCGAATGGTTGGTCACATTTCTAATCACTTTGAAAAATAACAACCATTTTTTTTAGACTTTGAGATGAAACTCCTTAGATAGGTATAATCACTTCTAGATCAGTGATATTGTTTTTGGTGGTGTTATCTATGAAATCATTTAGATGTTATTTGAATTCATGTTTATCTTCTATAACTAGAAAGAAACCTTCAATTTTTTAAACTTCAATATAGCAAACATCATTTGGAATACGGGTGTCAAAATTTGGGTTCAAGTTTGACTTAAAATTGACCTAACTCAAATCTACTCAACCGGAAACTGCCCGTTTAATAAACATGTCAAAAGCATCAATCCAAACCTGACTCGCTAACAACCCGAATGATTTTAACATGATCCGTAATCTATTTTGGTTAAAAAAAAGTTTTTTTTTTGGTCTAACTTATTAATTATAGTTTTTATGATATTAGATAAAAAATAATAAGATTTTACTCACATATAAAAAAATTAAGAAACAAATATTAATTGAGTTATTTTTAGATAAAAAAATAAGTTTATAGGTCAACCTGAACCTGTCCATTTAATAAATAAGTTGGACAATCTAACCTCAACCCAACTTATTTATTAAACAGGTCAATTCAAACATGAATTTTGATCGAATTAGTGGGTCGAGTCATTTATTTACCCCTTCAATTTGGAGGTCCATAATATGTTTAGCCAAAAGTTTTTTTTCACATTAATTAAAACAAAAATAAAAAATATTTTAGTATTAGAATATATCATATGTTTTAATATCTTTAATTAATGAAAGTTTCCACTGCAAAAATTCTCGGCTATTATTTTTTTTATTTTTTTTTTATATTTTCAAATGCATATGTCGTGGCAAGCATGGGAAATAAAATCCACCGTCCATCCACAATCGGTCATCGAAACCTCACCGGCCATCATTCCTCACATGAGATTTGCGCCGCCGACGCGGTTCCCCACCTTTTTCTTCTTCCTACCCATTCTCACCTTTCAATGGCGGGGATTATAAACGTCTAAGAATTCGCTTCCTATGTCCTCGCCAGTTCCCTGGAAACAAGAACCAAAGTGGCAAACGAGGGGCTTCCTTTCCTTCACAGTACTATTCGTGGAGGAAAGAACCCGAAGCCATAATGGCCGGTCTTCTGCTCTCCGAAGCCTGCGGCTTGAGGCCCCTCACTGCCGCAGCTCATTTTCGGCCAAGGCCTCGTCTTCCGGCGGCGGACACCAATCGGAGCTTTCCCTTTTCCGGCAGTCAACCGTTTCGTCTTTCAACTGTCATAGGTCCCGGTGCGCTCCTTAGGGATTGTATGCTGAGGGTAAGCGCGCCGGCGAGGCCCATTGTTGTTGAGGAGGAGAAAAGGGATAATGTTAGTGGGATTCAAACCGAGGAATTCGATCCTGGGATGCCGCCGCCCTTTGGACTTGCGGAGATCCGCGCGGCGATACCAAAACACTGCTGGGTGAAGAATACATGGCGGTCGATGAGCTACGTAGTTCGGGACGTTGCCGTCGTCTTTGGCCTCGCGGCCGCCGCTGCTTCTATCAACAGCTGGGTTGTTTGGCCTCTGTATTGGGCAGCACAGGGAACGATGTTCTGGGCTCTCTTCGTTCTTGGCCATGACTGGTATGCCGAAGCTGTTCTCAACCTTTGTTATTTATTTTCACCCCATTCCTTTATCGAAGTCCGCGATAGATTATGCTTTTTTTACCTAAAGATCTTATTTTGGGCAGTGGACACGGAAGCTTTTCGAATAATCACAAACTGAACAGTGTTGTTGGCCATCTCCTTCATTCCTCCATTCTTGTGCCCTACCATGGATGGTAAACCTTTTTTTCTAATATGATTTTGTTGAGCTCTTTTATTTTACTATTTTTAATCTTTTGTTGAACTCTTCAGGAGAATAAGCCACAGAACTCATCATCAAAATCATGGCCATGTGGAGAACGACGAATCTTGGCACCCTGTTAGTATTTTTCTCAGTTTTGTGAATCAAATATTGATTTTTCCTTCTTGTCAATTTTGCCTGATGGAAATTTTTGCTACTCGTGTTGTTTTTGCAGTTGTCTGAAAGTGTTTATAAGAGCTTGGATACGCCAACTAGGAAGCTTAGATTCACATTTCCTTTTCCAATGCTTGCCTTTCCCTTCTATCTGGTGAGAAATTTTGACTATCAAGTTTAAGTTTTGTGTGGAATTAGGTCACTGTATTATTAATAACTTCTGTTGATGACAGTGGAGCCGAAGTCCTGGAAAGAGTGGATCACACTTCAATCCAGAGAGTGATTTGTTTGTTCGGAATGAAAAGAAAGATGTCATTACTTCTACAGCTTGTTGGATGACTATGGCTGCTTTGTTAGCTGGATTAACATTGGTTATGGGTCCTCTACAGATGTTTAAGCTTTATGCAATTCCCTACTTGGTAGGCCTTATCCCGTCTTCTTGAAGGGCTTTATCTGCTTCATAATTGAAATATCTGGTCATAAACAAGTTAATTTTGTGTGGTTCTAATTGCAGATATTTGTTATGTGGTTGGACTTTGTAACTTATTTGCATCACCATGGACATGAGGAAAAGCTTCCTTGGTATCGTGGAAAGGTAATGAATCTTTTTCATGGTCATTTGAGTACCAATCATCTTCATTAAATCTTGAGAGGATTACCATTGAAACTTATTTGGCATGACAATTGTTAAATCTTATTAATTTCTAATAAATTTTTTGACTATTTGTTTCAAAATTTAAGACTTGTAAATGCAGAAATTCTTAAAACCGTTTAATCATATGAATGATGGGATTTTATATGTTCTGGTTTTAACAAATAATGGAGCGGGACTGTTATTTATCAACATGTACTAAAAAGTAGGATTTAAATTACTCAAAAGTCTTTTTGACCAAAGACTTGAGCTAAATCTTGTTTAAGGATCAGATTGAGACAATTACGACATTTTATAAAGTTGATTTTGAAGTTACTGTGAGGAAAGCAATTTAGCTATTCTGATTGTCAAAAACAGCTTTCATCATAAAAATTTATGAAAAATAGTGATAACGCAACAAAAAAAAAACAACAGCCAAACGAAATTGTGTTTGCTTTATGAGAAGCTATAATCATTGAGAAAGTTGTCTTAAATAAATCTTAAGTCATACCTAATACAGGATAACAAATGGCCCCATAGTTATAAACTAATTTTAATTCCGAACTCCATAATTCACCCTTGAAAATGAGAGTTTCAGTTCAAACTTAAAATGAATGAAAATAAAATAAAATTTTCATCTACAACCTTAAGTTTTCTTAAAAAACCAACTTTAAGTTTTGTTAAAAAACCTGACTTTCAGTTGAATTCCATTGTTCGGTTTATTTTAATGATCATGAACAAAGAAATAAGTATACAATCATACTGTCCTAGCATATCATATGATAATTGTGCGTTTAAAGGAGACTAGAACTCAAGAAAACTAAACTTGGCTTATTATTCTTTGCTTCCAGGAATGGAGTTATCTTCGAGGAGGCTTGACGACCCTTGACCGTGACTATGGATGGATCAACAACATCCACCATGACATTGGTACTCATGTGATTCATCATCTCTTCCCACAAATACCACATTACAATCTTATAGAGGCTGTAAGTAATACTAAATTCACATTGTCTCAACACTCCTTATAAAGTTGGCCAGCACTTATAAATGCTCTTCGTAACAGACTGAGGCAGCTAAGCCAGTCCTTGGAAAATACTACAGAGAACCAGAGAAATCTGCCCCTTTACCTTTTCACCTGATTGGAGTTCTTGCAACGAGCTTGAAACGTGATCACTATGTTAGTGATGCTGGCGACGTTGTGTACTATAAGAAGGATACTGAATTATGATTCTTAGAAGACAAGTGAACATTATTCTTTCTAGTAAGAATACTCAAAGAGGCATACAGAAAGACGACTAGCCCTCTTATTGATCTAGCTTAAGGTGTATTTTTTGTTTGATTTCCTCTGCCCATTGACTATTATTCTTTGTTTATCTCTTCTGGAGCTGTGCTCAGAAGCTGAACGAGGTGTTACAAGAACAAATTAATGCTAATGGATAGTGATTCTCTTCAATAACTAGTTTTTCTGTTGTAAATCTAAACATGGATTTATGCTTGATAGTGTAGATCCTGATCAGGCCCAATGGCCTCTTAATTGCTAAACTGGCAATTCAACACCGTGATAACACACTAGACAACAACAACGATAACAACATCAAGCCTTTATCCCATTGCGTGGGGCTTGAGCACACTCGACTAATATCTTAAAAACATGTTCGTAATAAAGTGGATCATAGGCATGTTTGAGATTGATGACATGACATTTAGACATTAGCTCCTTAAAAATGAAGAATTTTTTTGCTTACCTCCACTCTCCGTTGTGTTACTCAATCTTTCTCTGATATATGATCATTATCAAGGTTTTGAAAATTAGATCGAACAATAAACCAGAAGAATGAGAGGTTCACGATTCGACAGGTGGGTTCCACCGAGGTCGAACCAGATGATGTAATAAATAATAATGTTATTAAAATTTAAAATTAAATGAATAGTAGAAGAATGAGATGTCATAATAATGATATTATCATTTCAAATATGAGATAAAATTAAATGAAATAAAAAAAATTATAAAATATAAAACTTACGTAATTATTTAAAATTATTTTTTAAATCTCACATAAGAGTATAAAAACCCAATGTTCATAATTTTAAGAATTTACGCTCATAATATTGTGGTAATTTTAAATTTAAATATTTTATCTTTTAAATTTGTTTTTTTAATCTAGTTTAATTTACATATAACCATATAAGTTAATATAAATTATTTCTAATTTATATTTGTTGTGTTCTGGAGTACTCGCGATGGTAGAGAAATATAAAATTTAATGTATTAGCTTTGTATGAATATCCGGCCCACAAGAAGATAAAAGAGATGGTGTAGCGTTTATAAGAGACCCCAAAGTTTTTATGTGGAAACCCCTGAAAAGTGGGAAAAACCATGGGGCCTGCCCCAATTTGAATGAATCCACAATTATTTGTAGTTGATTACATATGAGGCCCTTTCTTGGGGGGAATGCCTTGGGTTAATGTAGCAAATGTATATCATATTACATGGTGGGAATTGGAAGAATTAGTATTGAAATATTCGTTTAGACGACAGAACCATAGTCGGCAGACGATGGAGGTCAGAAAGATCGTAGTCTGGTGACGGTGGTTGAAAGGGCCATTGTCTAGCGAGGGAGATTGGAAGGATTGTAGTCGGCAAGACACAATGGTCAGAAAGACCATTATCTGGCGAGGGAGAACAGAATGATCGTAATCGTCGGTAGACTGTGGTTAGAAAGAACATTGCCTGGCTATGGAAGTTGAAAGGACCATAGTAGGTGATGGAGATTGGAAGGAAATAGGGTTCTAAAAGAGTGTTGTCTGGTGATGGAGGTTGGAAGGATCGTAGTAGGCAACGGAGGTAAAAAGGATCATAGTCGGTAGGAGACAGAAAGATCGTTGTTTGGAGATGATGGTCGAAAGGACCGTAGTAAACGATAGAGGCCGGAAGGACCATACTCGGTTGGAGATAAGGGTCAAAAAGATTGTTTTCTAATAATGGAGGTCTAAAGGATTGTAATAGGTGACGGAGGTCGGAAGGACCATAGTCTGCAGTAGATAGGGGTCGGAATGACCATTATCTGACGATGGAGTTCGGAATTACCATAGTAGATGAAAGATGTAGGAAGGACAGTAGTCGGCATAAGATAGGGGTCAGAAAGACTGTTATCTAGTGATGGAGGTCAGAAGGACTGTAGTAGGCGACGGAGGTCAAAAGAAGCATAGTCGACAGAAGATAGGGGTCCAAAAGACCATAGTCGTAAGGCAGTGATCCGACGGAAGTTTGGGCATTATTCGGTGGTCTGGCTGAACTCCAACTTCTATTTATGGTCCAGTGAAAGTTTGGACCTCAATCGGTGGTTTAGCGGTGGTTTGGCAGAACTCCTACGTTAGGTAGTGGTCCGACAGAACTTTGGCATCAGGCGGTGATCCGACAAAACTATGGCATCAGGTGGTGGTCCGACTATGGTCGGGCTGAAATCTAGTGGTAATCGGTGGCTGGGTGGATGTCTGAATGTGGTTGCAGTCGAGTGGTGGTCCAATGAAGGCCAGACTTAAGTCTGGCAGGGTTGGTGATTGAGTGGAAGTCTAGAGGCAGTCGTCGGCCAGATGGTGGTACGACGAAGGTCGGGTTGAAGTTCTTTGGTGGTTTGCGGTTGGGTGGAGGTCCGAAAACTGTCGGCGATCGGCGACCGGGTGGTGGTCTAATGACGGTCAGGCTAAAGTCCGGCGGCAAATTAACGATCTAGCAATGGTTAGGCTGAAGTCCGAGGTGGTTAGCGGTTGGGTTGTGGTCAAACAATGATTAGGCTAAAGTCCACCAGCGGTCGGAGGCTGGGTAGTGATCCGACAAAGGTCGGGATGATGTCTGGCGACTGTCGGTGGCCGGGTGGAAGTTCGGTAGCGGTCGATGGCCTTGCGGTGGTTTTGGAGCTCTTGAAGCTTCAGGGCTCTCACCAATATCATGCCAAAGGTCCCCCTAATGTAGAGAGTAGGGATTTATTTATAGATTTTCATGAGTGAACACCTTGTAAATATAGAGAAGATCTGTGGAAGGTTAGGAGTGCTCCAACGGATGGCTCGTATTAATTTCCATTAATCATAGAGAGTTTTAAAACTATTTAATTTCTTTAAAGATCATAGAATTCAACGATCTTAGGCTCATTGGATTGGCCTCGTCGAGCCACTCGATTTGAATATATGCATGACATATTTGGATATTATTTTGTCATCCAAATAATGTTTTGCTCCTTTCAAATGTGATTCGGGCCCCCAATTTCGACCCATTTGGGCTCGAGTTGGACCGATTTTCATGTCGTTAGGTTTATATCATTGAGATGTTTAGTTTGATTATAAGTTTGTTGAAATTAGAATTCAAATGATCCTGAATTTAATTTTGAAAGTTTCTAACTTGAATATGCCTCGAGATTCATGTCTGATCAAGATGATTCTTGGTGAAGTATCAGTTACCCCACTTTTTGGATGTCGAATATAATAGAGTCTAAAAATATGTCTATGATTTTAGCATTATGAGAAGTCTGAGCATTACTTAATTACATTAACCTGTGTGAAAGAGTTCGAGACAATCCACCAGAGATGTATGACCTATTCGAGATTATTTGTCAGAGCGTTGTTTGGTGACTTCAAATTCTGTGAAACATTGAGATAATTTGCTAAGGATGTATGATATATCTGATGTTGTATGTCAGATCAATGCTCGATGACGCTAACATATATGGTAGAGGTCGAAAGAATCTACTAAAAATATATGACCTATCCTAGGTTGTATGTCAAAGCACTGCTCAATAATGTTAATTTACATGGAAGAGGTCGAGATAATCCACCAATGATGTATGACTTATCAAACGTTTTAAGTCAAAACATTGCTTGATGACGTTAACTTATATGGAAGAAGCCGAGAGAATCCACCAAGTATGTATGACCTATCCAAGATTGTATGTTAGAGAGCTGCTCGATGACGGTAAGCTACACAGAAGATGTCGAGAGAATATACTAAGGATGTATAACCTACCTGAGGTTGAATGTCAGAGTGTTGCTCAATGACATTAACATGTGTGAAAGATGTCGAGATAATTTACCAGGGATGTATGACATATCCAATGTTATATGTCAGGGCACTGTTCGATGATGTTAACTTGTATGAAAGAGGTTGAGAGAATCCACTAAGGATGTATGACTTGTCTGAGGTTATATGTCAGAGCACTCCTCGTTGATGTTAACCTGTGTAGAAGAGGTCAAAAAAATTCACAAATGATGTATGACCTATCTGAATACTCCGTAAAACTCCCCTGAAGGAGCACGGGGAGGCCGAAGCCGAATTTTTGGAGCCCACATGTAAGCTATTGCACATGATTTAAAATTATGGCATGCACCACATAAAATAAAATTATATATTTGCTTGTTAGATAAGTAATAAATTTTTTTGAGATAAATAAATTTTGTGCTTTATATGTTGATAAGAGATAAATTTTTCAAATGCTCAAATTTATTTCATTTACATTTTTATCAACAAAATTTATAATTTATTTAAATAATATTTGGAGTTTTAAATACTAACAAAAATAACACTTACCACCATCAAAATTTCACAGATAATTAAGATCCAGTCCTGACTTTTTCTGCGTCAAATTTCGAATGTAATAAGTCCAATCACCACCTTCGCACACAGGCAATCCCCTTGATGCCCTTAATGTTGAAATAGAGATGCTTTGCTCGTAGAGGTGGCGGAAGCTCCATCCCAAAGGCAAATGAGATGAACGATCGAAGAACCTTCGCAACAAGACCTCAGGGCATCTCCAACCGAACGTCAAACGAGCGGTTGGCGTCATTCCTTCGCTCCAGCCGAACGCCAAAAAATCCTCCATTTGCTTGCGGGTGAACAGTGCAACGCCAATATTGGCGTTGCGCTGTTCACCCACGCCATTTTTCTCTATCAACCGGAAAAATGCTGGAAAGGAGAAGGGTCGTTACCTTGGCGCAGAAGCAAAAAAATGACGTTGGATTGGAACAGCACCACGCCATTTTTTTTTTGCGATGTTTTAACGTGAAAAATAGTTCTCGGTTGGAGATGACCTCACAACGACTTTCTCCTATCCAATGAGATCCATCATGATTTCCTTGCATTATATAAATAATAAAAATTAATTATTCCCATCCATTCCACTGAAGACTTATTTATTGCAGCTCTTCAATCTTTATTGTCTGGACGCTTCTGCATGACCATTCTGCCAGGCAACCGAAACCTGCAGGTCCATTTAACTCTCTTTTATTTCTTTGATAATATTTTTTTTTGATTAGCTAATATTTGAAGAAATTATTATGTGTGGATTTCAGACTGTAGAACCGTCCGATTTATAAGTATAAATAATAAATACTCATCAAATACTTAATAAAAATTAGACGTAGCTTATGTCATGAGTGTCTGCATGTAATAATTTTTAATTTGTTATA